GGAGGAGGAGGAGGAGGAAGAGGCGGAGGCGGAGGCGGAGGCGGAGGCGGAGGCGGAGGCGGCGGAGGAGGAGGAGGAGGATGAGGAGGAGGAGGCGGAGGAGGAGGACGCGGAGGAGGAGGAGGAGGCGGAGGAGGAGGAGGAGGAGGAGGAGGACGAGGACGAGGAGGAGGAGGAGGAGGAGGGCGAGGAATAATAAGAACAATAATAATAATAGCACGAAGCATAAGACGAATACTACTACGATTACTACGAAGAAGACAAAGACCACGAATACTAATACGACGGAGAAGAAGAAACATACGAATACTACGAAGACGAATACTACGCATACTAATATTATTAAGAAGAATACGAATACTACTACTAATACTAATACGATTAATAATAATAAAATTAATAATAATAGTAGTAATAGTAACACTAATACTAATAATGAGGATACTACTAATACTAATACTAATACTACTAATAATAATACTAGTAAGAATAATAATAATACTACTAATGCTCATACTAATATTAATAACAATAATGCCAATAGTACTACTAGTAATAATACTAATAATAACAATATTAATAATACTAATACTAATAATAATAATAAAACTAATAATACTACTAATAACAAGAGTAATACTAATAATACTACTAATAATAATACTAATCATAATATTAATACTGCTACTAATATTAATAATAGTAATAATAATGATAATACTACTAATAATAATACTAATAATAATAATATTACTAATACTAATAATACTAATACTAATAGTAATAATACTAATAATAATGATAATAATACTCTTAAGAATAATAATACTACTACTACTGCTACTACTACTAATAATAATAATAATACGAATACTAATAATAATAATAAGAGGAGGAGGAGGAGGAGAGGAGGAGGGGAGGAGGAGGAGGAGGAGGAGGAGAGGAGGAGGCGACGGCGGAGGCGGAGGAAGAGGAGGAGAGGAGGAGGATGAGGAGTAGGAGAGAGGGAGGAGGAGAGGCGGAGGCGGAGGCGGAGGCGGAGGCGTAGCGAGGCGAAGGAGAGGAGGAGGAGGAGGAGAAAGGAGGTGAGGCGGACCGGAGGCGGCAGGCGGAGGCGGGGCGAGGCGGAGGAGGAGGAGGAGGAGGAGGAGGAGGAGGAGGAGCAGAGAGGAGGAGGAAGGAGGAGGAGGAGGAGCGAGAGAGGAGGAGGAGGATTTGGAGTTTGGAGTTGGAGTTGGAGTTTAGAGTTTGGAGTTGGAGTTGGTGTTGGAGGAGGAGGGAGGAGGAAGAGAGAGAGAGGAGGCGGAGGAGGAGGAGGAAGGAGGTGGAGGAGGAGGAGGAGAGGAGGGAGGAGGGGGAGGCGGAGGAGGGAGAGGAGGAGGAGGACGAGGAGGAGGGAAAGGTGGACGGGAAGAGGAGACGGGCGGGGATGTGCGATTGGGAGGGGGGAGGTGGAGGATGGGGAAGGTCCAGGATTTTTTAGCGAGCTTGTCGCCTCCCCCCCGCCCGCGGGCAGGCGTTGGCAATTGTTCTGGGCAGTGAGAAGGCTCCCGCGAAGGACGGGCTGGCTGTCCTGGTGCCCGTGCTGGTCCGTTGCGCGGGGGCGCTGAGCCTGAACCTGGAGGCACGTGGGGCAGGCTGGGAGGGACTAGGTGTTCGTTTCGGGGATCTTCCTGGGGCCCACCGGGCGGATTTTGTCGAGTTTGGCTCGGGTCTAGTTCCTCTCCAGTTCGATTCTGGCTCGACTCAAGTCCGACTCGAGTTCGACTGAAGTTCGACTCAAATTCGACGCCGGTCGGCGTGCGTTCGACGCAGCATGTACGTATGAGTGAAGCGAGTGGCTCCAGGGAGTTCCCAGAATGAGCATCCAACGTGGACCAAGGCGCCTCCCATTTCCGTGCGGAATCGGCGCGCTCCTTCGCCAAACGAGGCGGCGTTGGCCTCGTGCTTTCCGTACTGAATGCGTTGGCGTGTGGCCGCCCGACGGTTGCCGCGCCTGCGATCCCTGCCTCGTCCGTGCCCAGGGGGGTGCCCTTTCTGTGCCGCGCCTGGCAGCAGCTCGAGATCGAGGGGAGAGACTCGATGACCATGGCCAAGATATCGCGGGACCTTGTCGACGCCGATGCTGGCCACGGCCCACACGGGCCGCCGCCGGTTCGCGAGGAGGATCCACGGATCGACGACGGCCAAGATGGACGATCACCAAGATCGGCACCGACGTTTCCGCATGCAGCCTTGGAGCCTTTTTTTAGTCCGGGCGATGACGCTCGTGACGCTGTTTCCCCCAGATGTCTCAAGGATTCTTCCAGGGTTTCCAGAGAATCTCCAGGGTTTCCCAGGAATTCGTCGTCGCCGCTATTGTCCGCGACCAGGAGGTGGACGGGGAGGAGGAGGAGGAGGAGGAGGAGGAGGAGGAGGAGGAGGAGGAGGAGGAGGAGGAGGAGGAGGAGGAGGAAACCAGATGGTTTCGAGGGCCCGTTCGAAGGATTTGTTTAGGGGATGTCTCGAGCGAAACGCTGATTCGTAAGCGAAACGCTTGGGCCATCTTGGAGGTCATCCGAGATCGCCCCGAAAAGATGCCTCACAAGAGCGCTTGGCGCATCCCATGTTTCCAAGGATGTCTCAGGCGAAACGCTGATGTTGGAGATCCGCGAATTAGACCAACGATTTCAACGTCCCCAGTGTTTGAGGATGTCTCAGGCGAAACGCCCATGCTTAGCAACATTCGTCTTGGGATACGACCCCCAACTTCACGATTTTGCGAGGATGTCTCAGGCGAAACGCTCGTTTTTTCAAACCTTTCCTGACATGAACGGGAAGCGAGTGACAGGGAAGAGTTGCGCAAGAATTTGCAGCATCATCGCGATCAAATGCCATACAGGCGAGCTCTCCGAACGCTCGCAAGGGATACGTATGGATACGCGCCCCCCGAACGTTCACAAACATATTCCTGAGTATCCTCCCCACTCCTCCGCATGAGGAGGACGACGGCGAAGACGACGACCGGGGAAGAAGGGAGAGGGGGGGGGGGAAGAAGAGGAGGAGGAGGAGGAGGAGGCGGAGGAGCAGGAGTAGCAGGAGGAGGAGGAGGAGGAGGAGGAGGAGGAGGAGGAGGAGGGGAAGGTCGAGGAGGAGGGGACTGGTTCGATCGCAAATCACGGGAGCCTTGTGTGTCCTCGTAGCTCAATCTTTAGCGTGTGTTGGCGTGCGCTAGCGTCTGATGCTCAATGAGAAAGCGCCGATTTAGCGTCGATTCAGCATCGATCAGCGTCGATCAGCGTCGATTAGCGCTGGTTAGCGTCGACTCGCAAGAGCCAGCAAGATGGTATGTGAGGCTCCCATGAGTTGTCACCGAAGGCTGGTCGGAGGACCCTGGGCTGCCCGCCTTGGCTTCTGTGGCCCATGTAGTTCGTCCGTAGTTGGCCCCCCTGTGCCGCCAGCGTGACCCACACGCGCCTTTCCTCGTCATTCCAGGCTCTAATGCACCTCCCATGTCTCCCAGCTCATCCGCTTCGATGTAGTCGCCGTGCGCCGCTCTCGAACGCCTTAGGGCCCGAGGGAACAGGTAACAGGTAACTGGTTGGAGGGGACCGATGTATACACACCATGTCGGTTGGTCGGCCGAGGAGCCAAGGCGCTCGGCAAAGGATTTCAGTGTATAGACGACCCAGCGTCCCGCAGGTTGGGAAGCTGGGGCGGCTATACGCCGATTTCCGTGGCTGACCGCACGACGGGGCGTATACATCGAGCCCCTCCCAGACGGGCCGGCAACCTTGCGCATGGAACTTTTCTCGGGGGGTGCCAAAGGTTGAGGGGCAACGTTAGGGGGGGATGAGCTCAGGGGGGATGCATCGACCCCCCAATCGCCCATCCATCGCCGATACGGGCCCGATCGCCTGCCTCGCCCAGGAACGTGCGGATTCGGTAATGGGGTCTGTCGCCGATATATTGGCGATGTCTTGCCGATTCCAGGTCGGTGTTTCCCCCTTGAGAGCCAGTCCTCCCATACTTAACATTACCCCTCAGCCAATGGTGCTCCTGGCCAAGTTTTCCGCGCCATTTTGCAGCTCTGGGGGCCTTCGCGAAGTCCTGGGAGCACCTTGGGCCGGGGGCGCCTCTGGCAACACCCGATCTCGGCATTCAGGGTATTGCTGGATTTGTGTCTCGTGCTTGCGACCTTCATCAGTGTTCGCCAGCCTATGGGACCAGACGGGTCTGAGCGATTGATCGGCAGCATGCCACGGTCACGCAGACGTGGCGACGGTGGTCAGCGCACGAACGCGATTAGTGGAAGACCCGCTCGCCGACGCACGCAAGTGCGCGGGTGTGCACGAGCTGCTCATCTTTGCTCGGATTATGGCTATACGAACAAGCGTAGTCATAACACGAACAAGATGAGATATCATTCTTCATAAGAGTGATCGTGATAGGAATCAGACGATTCATATTGACGCTCGTGCGAGAATGTAATGGCCTTCGGCCCGATCCGAGAATTCAAGCGCCACCACTTGGTAAAGCCCAGGTGGCACGCGGGAAGCCCCAGAGTGCACGCGCCAAGCCCCCGGAGATTTGCGAGCGAGGGGTCCAGGTTCCTTCAAAAATCCCCACGGGTGAGGCGTAAGGCTCAGAGGATTTGGCAAAGGATCTGAGGACACGCCCGCTCCGTGTCTGGCAGCACGGCGGCGGATGATCCACGAGCGAAGAGGCGGCATAATCAGAACCTGCCGGGTGTCCGTGCAGGCTCTCTTGGATCGGCGCCGGGACCCCGTGGCGACCCAGCTGGCGCCGCCACCGGCTCGCTCCCGGGAGGGTTGGCCCTATGCCTGTACTGCAGGCGGCCCGGATTAGTAGGTCGACCCTGCCAGATCAAGGGTACCGCCGCGTCCTGTGTCTCGCGGCAACGTGGCCCCCGGAAGGGTCTTCTGTCCTCTCGCGTGTCCTGTCTAATCAAGGCCGACTGTATTGCTCGTTCCTCCGTGCATGGTGGGGCGCGCCCAGCCGGCCCGAAGCCTCTCAAATTTGGTCCCCTGGCGGAGTGCTGCCAGAAGTGCCCAAAGGAGGCCCCGAGGACCTCCAGGGCACCCCTCGCGAGGCCCAGGGGGCTCCAGGGGCTCGAAGGTGGAGCGACAAGCTGAGGGCACCCTGGGCCAGGGGCACTTTCATTGGCGGCGAGCCTGGGGGGAAAGTGAGAAGGGGCGGGTTCTCAGAAGGCTCGGAAGTTCCCTGGCATTCTGAGAAGTCTTTTTAGATTTCCCCGAAGGCGCAGACATTTTCTCAGAAGGAGCGAGGGCTTTCGAGAAGTCCTGCCGCCTTCTGAGAAAGCCTTCTGCTTCTCACTCCGCCCCCTCGCTCGCCGCCGACTTGAGCATCGCCCGACCAGGCCTCTCCCCGCGCTCGCCCCGGCGCATGTCCTTGGGCGGACACCTGGCCGTCGCGTCCAGAAGCCTCTGGGAGGCCCCCCAAAACGACCTGCCCTCGCTCGTCCTCGCCCTCGCCCTCGACGAGTATCCTCCGCCGTTTTCCTTAGCTTGCCCCCGCCCGCCAGGGTCCACCTCGATCCGATCGATCCAACTCGATACCGATTTCGGCCAGCCCGATCCGATTCGGTTCCGATACTCCGACGATCGAATGTGGCCCGATGCTTGCATGGCGCTGCTGTGCATCCTTCCGCAGCTGATCCTATCCGATCTCGATTCTGTGCCGACGCAGCCCGATCCGACGCACATCCCGATTCGGCCCCGGTTTCCCGATGCGATGCCGGCTTTCTACCCCGAGTTGCCACGGGCGGCTCCCCATGGCGGCTGGAGAGTTTCTGCGCCGACGTGCCACCGCAGGGGTGTAAACTCTCCACCAGCCGCCATGGGGCCGGCGTCTCCGACGGCGGAAGAGCTTCTCTGATGCCGAAGGCCCTCGTGCTGCGCGAGCACGGCGAGGCCGTGGACGCCATCTACGCCACGCAGCACGCCCACTGCCAGCTCCTGGAGGCGCGGCAGCAGCGGGCGCTCCAGGGGGCCCCTCCTCCTCCTCCCCCTCCTCCGCCTCCTCCTCCTCCACTCGTCCTCCGTCCTCCTCCTCCTCCTCCTCCTCCTCCTCCTCCTCCTCCTCCTCCTCCTCCTCCTCCTCCTCCTCCTCCTCCTCCCCCTTCTCCTCCTCCTCCTTCTCCTCCTCCTCCTCCTCCTCCTTCTCCTCCCCTTGGCCGCCGCGTGCCTGCTCGCTCTTGGGGGCCCTCCTGAGGCCCTCTTGCCAGGGCATCGGCATCTGTTTGCCGAGGGCCCGACAGGGCTCCGAGAGGGGCCCAGGAGGGACCACAGTGAGCAGTGATTCGCACCGCCGGAGCTGACACCCGGGGCCCCGCGAGGGGCGCATGGTGGCCCGATGCGGGGCCACACGGGGGGGGAGCGTGCCCGCCCAGTCCGCCTGG